AGACCAGACAGGAAGTGAGATGTGTATCAGAAAGGCACATCCAGTACATTTCAAAATAAAACCTGTGATGTCCTGTTTTTTCTGGATTGCTTTATTATTAATGACAGGGATGTCAGTTTGCAGTACATGATATTAACATCTTTAAACGTATTATGTCCCATTTCCAAGCTGAACTCGCGTGAACTCAAAGGTTTGGTGCTCTCATGGGAGCAAATTTATGGAGACAATCTGCACTTGATCAGTTTATATATATTAAAACTTTAGTTTCTCATTAATTTGAAAAGATCTAAACAGAGCTGGAAAAAAGGTTTGTAGTTCTACATTTGTATGAAATCATTTAAATCATAACAGCAACATGTTGCTAAATTTCTACTTCAAAATAAAAATTTGTTTCCATTGGATTGTAATTTTTAAATGTAAAAATGTTTTCTGCATGAATCTTGAATCATTAATTTTTACGTTTTGTACCGGAAATGTGCTTTACATCTAAATTACATAATCTCCTCTTCAAAAAGAAGTCAAATCTGAACTCGAACACCCACCCATGAATCCAAAATGTCAGCTTGTTGTTTACTTTGGTTTTTAGAGGAAAAGTCTTTGGTTGTGACCAAGTGGTGGGGGCGGGGCTAATAGCAGTTTTTCAGTTTGCTCTTTAGGAAGCGGAAATCCTCTCTGGTGTTGATTTGCTAATATAAAAAACCACAGCAGCTGTTCCACTCTCATCAAATGAATTATTTAGAGAAGCAGATGTCAGGAGGCGAGACATTTGCTAAAGTTTACGATGATCAGATAATGGCAGAGAAACTGTCCCAAAGTCAGCGTTTGAACAAAAAAAAAATCAGTTTGTTGGTTTTGTTTGAGTTTACATTTAGTCAGTTCTTTTATTTAAGCCGTTTTAGTTTTTTATTTAAGGAAATCGTAGGTTTCTGTATCTGCAAATTCCTAATTTCAAACTGAAGGTTTCTAAACCAAAAAGCACAATAATAATAAATAAAAATAATAATGAGTTGGTGTTGTCCTTTTATTTCCATTTGAAACAAATTTAAATCACCTGTCAGCAGCTAAAGCTGTGCTTGTCACTCTGAAAATTTACAACCCAATGTCAGGAATCAACCCTGGACTCAAGAACATTAGGAATTACATTCACTACATCCCAGTTTTATTCAACCCCTTGGTTACCTTTGGGGATTTCAAACTCGGGTTTTGATGTAAGGCTTTAAATTCACTCTTCTGTTTGCGAGCAGCAAGTAGAAGCTTCAAAGCAGATGTCTCACAGGTAGAAAAGCATCATTAATCTTATTTAATATAGTGAAAACTTTCTTTAATAAGTGCTGAATGTTTTTGTTTCTTTTCTTTCCTCTCCCTTTCCCAGAACAATAATAGTAAAACCAGTATATTTGTTCATAACGGACTCAGATTTGTTGGATATTTTTTCATTTCTGAGTCAAAAAGCATTCGTCCCTCACAGGAGGACTGGGGTTTCCTGTCTTGTTGAAAACCTCCAGGCAGGATTAAATCCTTTGTAAGAGTGATCCAGAGTTTTAGGGAAAAACCATCTGAAAACCACAAAGAACACGTAACAGAGTGGATGAAGGTGGGCCGGACTGTAAAAAATGGAGGATCTCAGGTATGAGATGTCTGGAGATTTTTGTGTGTTTCAGAATCAATTTGTCCCAGAGTCTACCCCGTCACCTCTCTTTTCCCATCCACGTGCCCCGGGGCGTTGACGAAACGCTACAGCCCTCGACGCCTACGCAGGAAGAGCACAACAACAGCAGCCCAGAAACCATCTGATTTCCCTTGTTCTTCCTCACCTCTCGTCCTTCATCCCATTCACTCCCCCTTCCCCTGCAGCTTTACCTCTACGTTATTCCCATTCAATTCATCTGTCTCCCTGCAACCATATCGGATTGTTTTTCATACTCTCCTCCTTCCTCCTCTCAGTTTTTTTGTCCATGCTTGACAGGGTACGTTTTTCTTAGTCAACCCTGATTTCCTTTGTTTTTATGTAGAAATCTTTTAAAACCATGGTTTTCAAGCAGGTTTTGTACATAATTAGTAGTAATTACCATATTCACTTTCATCAGTGAGTCGTGGAGGATGGCTGCTTATACTGAGCCAGGATCCTCTGGAGGTTTCTTCCTGTTAAAAGGTAGTTTTCCTCTCCACTGTCGCTATATGCTTGATTAGTATGAGGATTGCTGTATAGTCACTGACACTAGTCAGTGACTTGATGCAATTTGCTGGGTTCCTTATATAGGAAACACTATTTCTGATTGGCTTAATGAACTGACCTGGATTGGAATGTTTACTATGTGAAGTGCCTTGAGACGACTCTTGTCGTGATTTGGCGCTATATAAATAAACTTGAATTGAATTGAATAATTAAAGATACTGGTCAGAGGCAAATTCTCCTTGAATAATGTGTGTAAGAAAGTATTAAAAGCTCAGCTAAAAATAAAATTAGGATTTCTCTGGCTGGATTTGTAAGAAAATCCAATGTTTTTAAATTTTCTCTTCTCAAAAATGAGTTGAGGGCTCATCATCTCACCAAACGGTTGAGAAATAAAAGAGTTTCAGCTTCTGTTATCAATTTTTCACGAGTAAATCAAATAATCAGTCAGGAACTCTCCATCATCTGTCTCTATTTAGGATTGTATCTCCTTCCCCACATCCTTCTATCTCTTCTTCTCAGGTTTCCTTCTATCTCTTATGCTTCTCTCTCTCCATCCATCTCTCTTTCGCCCTGCTTTCATACTCCGCTGATTTCCTATCTGCTCATCTCTTTTTCTCTTCTGGTCCATCTCGGTGGGAGCTTGGAAAACAGCCCGTCTCACTCACAAAAGGAAAGTGATGCCTCACTCCCCCGGCTCTCTTTTGATAGAAAATAAAAGGCAAAGTGAAATATGCTCCAGACTCACGTAGATACTCGCTCGCTCTGACATTCACAGCATCTAAATTCTCTCAGAACAAGTTGTCATCTGAGAAAATGCAGCAATATGAAGGGACAGAGAAGGGCTGAAATGACCCTGGTGTATTGGGGAAGAAAAGAAACAAGGACGTGTTTGAGTATTCGGTTGGTATGTACAAGAATGGGCATCAAATAAAGTCGTTTTGTTGATTCAGGTGTGTGTGTAGTCACGTTGGTGTGTAAAAGACTAAGCAACAAGTGGTTCAGGAGGAAGAAACTCTCCTGAGAGGCAGCGTGTCTGTTCGTGTTGTTTAGCTCGGCGTGACAAAAAGAAGAAAACAGACGATCAAAAAGGGAACTCGGTGTGGGACAGGAACAAAGAGATGCTCACATTTAGCTTTACTCTACACAAGACTGAAGTAGAACACATGAAAAATGTGAATGCTGATATCAAATATTATCTTTTCTTTGTGTGTCGGGCCACCATATCCAATCCAATGACATGGAAGCAGATAGAACATCACTTCTGCCCATTTTTGTCCAGGTGGGTCATGGGGGTAGCAACCCCAGAAGAGAGGCCCAAACCCTCCACCAGTGGGACCCTAAACTGTTCGCTGGTCATCCTGATATAATCCTTCCTGTGTGTGTTGGGTTGACCCAGAGGACTTCTGCAGGACACGCCTGAAACACCTGTCCTGGGGGAAGTCCAGGAGGCATCCTCATCAAATACCCAAACCACCTAAGTTGGCTCAACCCTGTGTCTCTCCAGGGTGTTCGAGCTACCCCCTCTACCTCTAAGGCTCATTTTGACCACTTTTACCCAAATCTTTTGACCACATCTCTAATAGATGAGATGTCCATGTTCTTGCAGTTGCTTACTACTCAGGAATTGTCAGCATTGCACGTTTCAGTCAGAACTAACAGAAAACACCTTAAATGGCAGCTTTAGGAAGTCTGAATGCAGCGTGCCCCACACAAATGAAACCAAATGGTAGCATTAGGACGCAAGAATAGGGTCAGTTGCACAACGCAGGACAGAAAATTCCATTTAATATCAGATTGTTGGACGAGGGTTCTAATAATCATAAATCTAAAATGTTCTTGCTTATTTTTGAAGAATAATTTTTGCAGTCTTTATCACGCAAGATGAGTTTAAATATTCAGTTTGCTTCTGTTTTTAAGCTTTTTCTCCAAGTAGCTATATTTCCTGTAAGTTCTTGTTTTTTTTAGTTATTCACCCTTTATTTGACATTTAAAGGGCACTTATTATGACTTTATTGCATAAGATTTAATAGTTCTAAAGTTGATTCCCAAGAATTAAGAATTTTTTTTTACTAAATCTCTCTCACATAAAGTGATTTCAACAATTTCAGTACCTTCCAGAATGAGTAGATTCAGAGCCCTGTCACTTTAAGAAAACAAGCTGGAGATGGACCTATCCCTCGCACAGGCTGCTATCAGCTGAGAAGCTCTGATATCTGGGAAGTGCTCAGCGTTGAGATGCTGCTTCTCCAGCAACAGCTCTTTCTTCACTTGAGAGGTAGTGCAATTCTAATTTCCTCGTCTGTAACATCACAAAGAGGAACTTTTTGGAATGGCTTGTTGTAGGCATGCGATTCGTAAAACCAAACACTAGCAGAAAATTGATGGACATGTTTTTTTTCACATTTAGAGTGTTCATAGAGGCAGTAGAGACCAACAAGGCAGTACAAAAGGATGCAAAATGGGAATTTTGTATAAAATGGCCCCTTTAATTTTTTTAGCTTAATATCTAATTAAACAGTTTTGTAGAAGTTTAGGTTGGTCTAAGACAAGTGTCTCATTATTCTTGCTTTCATGCTATTAATATTTTATCAGTTATATATTTGCCTGCTAACTGGTTTATCCCTATGTGGACTCTTACCTGTTTTCTAACTAATGCATTAAAAACAAGTGATTAGGACTGCAAAGCAAATACTAAAAATGTGCCCCACATTGAGAGAAACCAACCCAGTCCAGACGTGCACATCACCGGAACCAATATCTCAAGGTAAAGATATGCTTATCTACATTTACTTGCACAGACTAGTGGACTCCTCATCCCACTTACCAGTGTAGTCTTCACGGCAGATGCAGGTGTAGCCTCCCTCTCTGCGTGCACACACCCCACCGTTCAGGCAGGGGTTGGAGTAGCACAAGTTGATTTCTGTCTCGCAGTAATCGCCCGTGAAGCCCACCGGGCAGCGGCATCGCAGACCAGCAATGGGGTGGATCGGCCGGAACAAGATGGAGGGAGAAGAGATGAAGGGAGCTGAGCTGTTGAAGCGCAGCACTGAGATGCACTTCATGTAGTTTTGGCAGGGCTCCCGTAAGCACACGTTGTCATCAAACGGGAGAACCTGGAGTGATGTTAGAGGATAGATGAAACCAGTAGGTCACTGCAATGTTTCTAACCCACATGCATTTCCTTTTTTCTTAAATATACAGTAAAATAGCAGTGCAAACAAGCATTTTTTAAATATATTTTAAAGGTGAACTTTAACAACTTTTCTTTTACAAATGGAAGCTGTTCTCTAATCCTCTATATAGAAGATGAAGAGTTGTTGGGCCTCACAATGGCCCAGGATCTCCGAATTTGGGAAGAGACCATTGGACCACACCGCAAGTCTAGATACCCCCAGTACATCCTGGGAAATGAGTGGTCCGTTAACATTCTCCTTTGCTGTTTTTCTCTCATCAAACAAGGACATTAGCAGGATCTCTGGCCAACATTGGCCTTAGCTAAGGCTAGCGTTAGCAGCTGTTTGGACAAGTGCTTGTAGAATCGCAGACTGTCTGCAGTAGCTCAGGCTAGCGCAGTTTTTCTCAACTATTCCCCACCACACCCCCAACACCCCTACTCAGAAAATCCCTAACGGAGAAATCCAAACAAACACCAGGTACAACACACACTCATCTCCCACCCCTGCTCTGGGACAATAAATAGAGTTGACGAGTGTTTGTTTCAATTAAAAAATCAACATCATCATTATCACAGCATTTGCAGTAGTTTGGATAGCATTAGTAGTTTCAATTAGTGTTCATAGAATCTCAGACCACTGTTAACATTTATTTGGGCTAGCAATAGCAACAGCAATAGCTTGAGCTGACATTTACTGTACCTCAAGCTAGTGTTGTTCTGCCATTGGCATTATCACGACCAACGCTCATATATTGCCGATGTTTGGTGTTCCTTTTTTCCATTACGTTACTATCCTAGCTAGGAAAGTAGGTTGGAGATGACTCCACGTTTCTGGTACATTTGACATCCCAAGCTGCCTATTTTAAATAACAAGAAGGTAAATGAGGTTGTGAACTCTAGGACACCTTTAAAGTCAGATGAAGTTTGCTCCTGTCTCTGGAATAAACTTGTAAGCAGTTTGAAGAATGTGGTCATGGAAACTCTGATTGCTGGACATTACAGTGAGTCATTAAACGTGGTGATGGAAAACTTCAAACCTTTTATTCATGAAGCCAAATCAATAAAACAATTTAAGTTCCATTACAGGCAAGTACTTCCAACCAAAACTCACTAAGTAGTCTACCTCAATGCGTTATGTCAGCAAGATGTTCAGTGGGAAGTGGGCATCATTGGGTTTAAGTGTAAAGTATTTATTCCATTATAACTTCTGAATCTATGATTATAACTGAAAATCTAAATATTTAGACCACCATGTCCTAAGTTAGTTTTATTTGTAACACTGAAATTTCGTATGTAATAAATGTTTTTAAATGATCAGTTTGCAGTATAAATTCTGTCAGTAACTTTAATCAGTGGAACAATTAAATATAATTTCTGTTCAGTAAAATCTGAATGATTCTGCAGTAAAATATGATATCTATATTAATAGTGCTGGGTATTCATGTTGTTGAGGTTAGAATTAAAGTGTTTAGACTCTAAAATCGTCCTTATTTCTGTAAAATATTATAATTTGATCTTATCCCCTCAAGGGGTTATAAAGATGGCAGACACCAGACAACTTGAACTCCTGAAAATGTGATTCTTCAGTTTATAAAAAAAAAAAAAAAAAAAGATTTTTACGTCAAATTATTCCTGTTAGGTTGTTGGAGTTAATGAATTCCCAAAATTGACTTTTTGTTTGTTCAAGAATGTAGATTTGTTTAGCAAATATTTATGAATCACGAACTGACTTTTTCACATTGTTATCCACTGAAACATCTGTTTGCGTGCGACTAAAGCCGTTATGGGTTCTGTAAACATATTAGTAAGTAATGCACATTTTCTGTGCAGATTCTTATTATTTTACACATGGAAACACTGAGTGTTCTAATTTCTATAGTATTACGTAAAGCCACATGGCTGCTGTGATTAACATCTGTTTGTGTCCTAAAATACATCTCCTGTAATGCACGTTTATTGATTTTTTAAATTCACGTACAAAAGTAAATGTTTTAGTAAGATTTCAGCTGGTAAAATCTATAGAAATCTTGGCTCCTCATCTTCATCTCTTCAAAACTTTAAATCGTGCAGTAATCCAGACTTCTCCTGGACCCTTCACACAGACACTACTATCAGGAAAGCTCGCCAGCGGCTTTACTTCCTGAGGAGGCTGAGGAAGTTTGGCGTGAGCGCCTGCTTCATCTCAAATTTCTACAGGTGTGCAATTGAGAGCTTGCTGACGAGCTGCATCACAGTGTGGTACGGAAGCTGCTCTGCCAGCAGCCGTAAATCACTACAGAGGGTGGTGAAAGCAGCAGAGCACATCACTGGCATGAGGCTTCCTGCCATTCAGGACATTTATCTCCAACGATGCCTCCGGAAAGCACACAGCATCATCAAGGACCACAGCCACCCGGCACATCAGCTGTTCTCCTTGTTACCATCTGGCAGACGTTACAGGAGTCTGTCTGCTCGGACTACAAGACTTAAAAACAGTTTCTATCATCAAGCCATACGACACCTCAACCACAACACCTAAACACACACAACACAGGACTCAGAAGCTACCCTGCAGCTTCACAAGTACTATATTTAATCCGTACTGGTCACTTCACTTTATTGTTATTGTAATTTATATCCAAAGTGCAACACTGTAATCTATATCCTGCATAATTTATATCCTGCAATACTGTAATTTATATCTAAAGTGCAATACTGTAATTTTCTGCAGCTCATTCCTGTGCAATATCCCATCTGCCCTCCTGTCATATTTCTTTTCAGGATTTTCTTTATTGACACATATATATTTAGTCATCTTTTCCCTTTTACCATGTCTCTCTAATATTTTGCTCCTTACTATATTTTTTTGCTTTATTTTATTATATTTTTATTATATTTTATTATATTTTCTCCTGTATCATGTTGCTGAGAGACCGCTGCTCGTCATACACGTTTCATTGCAATGTTGACCCTGTGCTAACTTGCATATGACAAATAAACTAAAACTGAACTGAACTAATCAGAGTATTTTCTGCTGAAAGTAGGAGTTTTTGGTTGAATGTGATCCATGTTCTACTTAGGATGAGTTATTTGCTCTTTCTAAGGGAATAGAAGAAGGCTGCTGGGATGATTGTGCATGTGTGTGTGTGTGTGTGTGTGTGTGTGTGTGTGTGTGTGTGTGTGTGTGTGTGTGTGTGTGTGTGTGTGTGTGTGTGTGTGTGTGTGTGTGTGTGTGTGTGTGTGTGTGTGTGTGTGTGTGTGTGTGTGTGCATCCGCAAAGACACAAACCTCCATCTGTGTCAGTGATGTCAGCCTTGGCCTGTTCAGGTACAGCTGTTCCTCCAGGGCCTCGGAGGGGAAAAAATGTCCACCAGGCAACGCAGCAGAAAAACTCACATTCAGGATGCTTCCTGGAACCGCATCCAGATCCGGCTGGATGTTAAATATGAAAACATCCTCAACCGGCACAGAGAGCACAGCGGACACACCCTCCAGGAAGTTACTGAGCAGTGGTGAGAGGAAATGCTCCTGGGACACATTCTGGAGGCGGACGGTCACACTGCTGCCCAACATGTCCTCGGTGATGATGAGGACGCGGAGGACACACTGAGCTGAGATGCTGTGGACACCGTCTGAAAGGATAAAGGAGAAAAAAGTGACGGAAGTAATTGGCCCTTTAAGGGTGGTTTTATGACCAGATAAACAGCAATAAGTGCAAAAAAGCACCCTAGTAACCCACACAATAACAAAAATGCATCACAACATCATGATTAGGCAAAATTAGTGTTTTAATTTAAAAACGAACCAAATTAAATGTGGAACAGGGAGAATGAATGGCAGAAACACCTGAGTAGTCCTGAAAAACACATGAGGAAAACGATAACATGGCAGCAATGAATGGAGAGTGTGGGGGTGAAGGGGACTGAAGGAGAATGGTGACACAGAGAGGATCAGGAGGACCGAGATGCAGCGAAGGGTGAAGGGCAGCACTGGAGGTTTATTAAAACTGGAAAAGGAACAGAACATCATTCAAAATGGAACGAGGCTCTAACTGACAAAGAATGGACAAAAATTAGTTTTTGTGTGTAAATGAGAAAAAATACATTGATGTTGATTTGATTCTCTAGTGCATGTTACAGTATATTTTAAAAAATCTAGAAACAATTTTGTTTAAATTATAGATAATTTTGAAAAAGTCTCCTGTCTGAGAAGACATAGAGAAACAGAAAAGCTAAATATAAACGCTCCCCAAAATAGGAAAAATGCAACAAACCATAAAAACGGAGAATAAATAGAGGAAAGTAAAGAAGGAGAATCAGAGAAAACACAGCAGAGAGGTTATGAAGGGGGTGAGTCTGATGGCAGCTGGTTTGATTAGAGGACTATGAGGAGCCTCACTCCCCCACTGACCTCTACGACACACACACACACACACACACACACACACACACACACACACACACACACACACACACACACACACACACACACACACACACACACACACACACACACAATGCACAGACCTTATAATAAATGTATGTATGTTTGTGTATACGTGTATGCAGGGAAAATGCACATCTGACAACCACCACCAGATGGTTCTGAGAGCTTCTAAAACAAAAATGAGGTGTTTTAAATAAAAAATGTGACTTCTAGTCATCTTTAATTTTTTAAACTAGGGTGTTTTCATTAAACTGTATGTTAAAGCCATATAAACACACCTAAGTGTTTCCTAGCAAAGGAACAAATGAGAAGCATAATCCAATTGCTATGTGGAAATTCTGTTCCAACAGAGCCTTTACACCAGACGCGTAAAGGTTGTGTAACATCTGTGAAGCAGCAATTAGCCGCCATTAGAGCGGATGTGTGCATTTCCACTGGTTACAAGGCATCGGGGTTTGGACGTATCCCAGAACGTAGTGACGCATCGCTTTGCTACATTTGTGCTTCAGGTCCACTTTCTACGCGCTACGCTTTCAGAACGCGTTAAGCTCATCAGCTCAGATCGGGCAAAACAGGCAGCCAAACACAAAAGCAGTACAAAGCATCCAGAAACTTTCAAAATAAAACTTACAGGCAGATTTCCAGCTGTTTACTTACTAAAAAGAAAAGTACATTGTTACCTGTGAAACCTAGCCGTGGTAAACAGGGGTAGACTGGGACCAAAATTCTGCCCTGGCATTTTTACGAATTGTCAGCCCTCCCCATTGGGAGAGCGGTGGGGGTGGGGGGTGTTGCCTCCTGCATACTCGTCTTTAGGCCGAATGTGAGATCTAATATGAACTGGGACTGTTAAATTACAAGCAGGGCCAGACCGCTGCGACCGGGAGCCCTGGCCTTCCAGATCAGCTCATTCTCCACGGGCGGAGATCAGCAGGACATTAGCTACATGCTAATGCGGTAAAACAACTCATATGTCATCGCTCTACTGCATTTTTCTTGCTAAAAATGCCTGGAAAAACTCTGTTAGCTTCGGGTTACCATGTAGCTAATGTTTTGCAGATCACCAATTGTGGAGTAGTGTCGGCCCAAGCTGGGCAAGCAGCCCACTTGGCTAAACGGCCCACGGGACAGTGCCAGAATGTCAGATAGGCCAGTCCACCCCTGGTGGTAAACGGCACAGAAAATAAACCATAGACCGTTTTAAATACATGCTGCCATCTTTCTCCTTGCTAGTTATCACGTGAACTACCAAAATCACACGTGATCTTGCTGTTCTCTGATGATTTCATAACCTTGCGGCACAAGCTGCGAGAAACAGTTTTGCTGTCGTTTTGAGTCTGAAGCACTCTCAGTGGAAATGGATGTGCCACTGAGCTCATGAGTAAAACGTGTCTATTAAGTTGTGCGCCACTTGTGCCTTCAGTGGATATCCAGGATATCCAGGTAAAGTCGGCAGGAGAATGCTGATATTTGACCTGATCCTCCCCTTATGGCAATCGTATTCAATTCAATTCAATAATACTTTATTAATCCCAGAGGGAAATTAGAGTTTCAGTGCACACAATTCTGAGATCAGACATACATACATGACAAAAATTGGTGACTGTGGTCATTCGCAACCCGAGTCGCGCTACCGTAATAGATCAAGATGGCTTATATGAGGATAGAGTCGGGGGGAGGGGAAAAAAAGGCACTTCAGAGTCAAGCTTGGTTTATGCTTGACGCATTTGCTTTCCGCTTGGTGATGCGGCTCGCGAATGGAATGTGCTTCACAACTTGCAGCGTTTATGGTTCATGCGGCTTGTCTCTGCGGTGAGCCAATATTCTCCCAAACTGTAGGGGGCAGCATGGAGCTCTACAGCATGCATCCAACACTACACCATAGTAGAAGTAGAAATTACTGTTGTTTACAACATGGCATTTTCACCTTTTCTGACAGTGCGAGCTATTTCTCTCCAAGAATTATTAACAACATGTTGATCACGGTGATCTTTGAGAGCTGAATCATACAAATGTCTGTATTTATGAACCTCTGCCATACTAGTTCTTGCCGGTCCGCCATGTTTTTCCGCGTCCGACCGTCTGCGTGGTTAGAAAATTTCCTAGGTGCTCTTTGCGGAAATTTTGGGCCGTGCGGAGGCGCGGTGGAGGGGCGTGGTTATTATAATGACGCAATGTCGCCGCGCGGACCTCGCGGACGCGTCAAGCACGAACCAACCTTTACTCTCACCCGAGAGGGTAGTTTTGCTATGCAAAAAACACCTCAGACAGTTATGCACACACTTCAGACATTACACAACATAAGTGTCCACTAGATGGGGAGGTAGGGTTGGAACTCTCCTCACTTCGGTGTGTGAAGCCACATGGAGCAGCGCTCATCACCTCCGTTTGGACAGGGGAGGGAGATTAATGAGTTGGAGAGCACAGTGACTCCTAGATACGGTTCCACGGCCTTCACCGGTCACAGTCCCGCCCAGGCTGAGAGAGGGAGAAAGAGTTGTCTAGCCATGGCAGCATTCCACATTTCTTCTAAGGGGGGAGTTTTTACTTCAGCCTCACAGGCTCAAGGGCACCAGATTTAGATAAGGATTGTTTTGGGGACAGAGATAATTTCCTCTCTGCCTTAGAGTTCTGTTGGTCTCCAACCCCTCTAGATCCAATAATGGCGTAATTAATTTATCCCAATCCGTGCTGATCCTTCCACAACTCTGTCCTTGATGGAATCTACATTCTGTGTCAGAGCCTGAATCTCAGACAAAGTTCCAAGCTTACGACTCATCTCGACAATTATGAGTTTGTGCGTTCGCAATGCGATGCATTCCATCCCTAGCTCCGGGATTGAGCCAATATTTCTCAAAAGCTTGTTAATTTTCCGGTAAGCGAGGTAACCGCTCAGGCCAAACAGCAGGAATCCCGACACCAAAACAACGAATATCCAAACATCTTCAGAATCCTCTACAGACAGTAGAGTTGTGTTAGGTATGTACTAACACAGTGTGTTAGTACATACCTAACACAACATGCCACCCAGCTCCTGGTGCAATCTACTGTCATCTCCCGCCTCGATTACTGCAATGCTCTTCTAATTGGTCTTCCAGGCTGTACTGTGAGACCTCTTCAAATGGTCCAGAACGCAGCGGCGCGTCTGGTCTTCAATCAGCCAAAAAGAGCACACGTCACCCCTCTGTTCATTGAGCTCCACTGGCTACCGCTAGCAGCACGCATCAAATTCAAATTGCTAACACTAGCATACAAAGTCCGAGACGGTACGGCTCCCATCTACCTGAATCCTCTTGCAAAGGCTTACGTCTCGGCCCGGCCGCTCCGGTCATCACAGGATTGTCGGCTAGCAGTGCCTACACCACGCTCAGGACAATCCAGACTTTTCTCATGCATCGTTCCACAAATGTGGAATGACCTTCCTAACACTACCTGAACTGTGGCTTCCTTTTCTATTTTCAAGAAACTCCTGAAGACCCTGCTCTTCAGAGAGCATCTTCTTAACTAGCACCTTGCCTGCACCCGTCCCCCCTCTCTACTGTCCACTCCTTGTTCCCTCCTCTCCATGACTGATGTCAATTTGTTGTTGTTACTATTGTTGTTAGCCTCAAGGGCAAAATGCCGATTATCACTTGTAAGTCGCTTTGGACAAAAGCGTCTGCTAAATACATAAACATAAACATAAACATATCAGGTTCCACTGTTTCCAGGAGTCCAGGATATACCCAGCTGGCTCTGTACCAGAGGGGCATCCGGGAGCCCCCTTCTCCCGTTCTCATCGCTGAAAAAAATTTGTCAATCGCGTTGGGAGACTAGCTGACCAGATCCATTTTTAATAAATTCCAGTTTCCAGAAAGAATGCAGAAGCGCCGTGCACACAAGACAGGACAAAGAGCCTTGAGATAAGAGGGAGGGAGAGGAGAAAAAAGTGTCTGTACTCTCCAAGAGCCGGAAGATAAATGCTTGATTACCGTAATTGCTCTAAGGATAATCTCAGATATTCCTGTCATGTGTTGTGTGTTTAGGACATTCTGGTATGCTCAGAAGCAAGTCAGGGCCATTTGTTTCAATCATAAATCAGGGAGATCAAATGTGTTGGAGTGAAAAAGGAGCAGAGCTGATTTGATTGTTTACATTCCAGCCTTCATCTGTGGTCATTAGATTGGGATTGGAATGACAATATCCC